CCCCTTATCCAGTAGAGCATGGATCTGGAGGTCCTGTGTCGTATCTGCCTATCCATTACGTTTTCTTGGATAACATACAGAGTCTCAAATAGCATTATGTGTAACCACTAAATTGAGCCACTAAGGCCTAGAGTCTAGGGAGGAGTTCGACTAAGAAGTGGATGTACCTCAGCCTGAGTTGAAATTTGGTAACGTTCATAGGCAGGTGAAAGTCCATCTTTTGTTTATTCGAGTTTGCTGGGCATTCCAATATCTTTTAGCTCAAATTGGAGCAAGTTTAGGACTTTGAGGCAAAGCATGAATTCTTTAATCTATTTTTTTTTTTATTGCTTTTCAGTTAAGTCTCGATGAGAGCACGCAGTTACTGTATAAGTGCAATTAAACAGTACAAATCTTTAACTGGTGGTTAACATAATGGTAAATTAATTGCATCATATAACATGAAAGTTGGTTGAATTGAGAATCTTATACCAGAGCTCTGAAGTGAACTGGTCTGTATATCAAGGCTTTCTTTAATTTTCTGCACAGCCCTAACATGATGCCTTATATAAGGACATGTTATAAGGGGAGGAAAAAAAAAAAAATTAAATCGTAGAATACCAGGTTGGAAGGGACCTCAAGGATCATCTGGTCCAACCTTTCTTGGAAAAATCAATAGGAAGTTCCCCATAATTGGAGTTCCCTATAATTTCAAGACTTAGAATTACATTTTTTTTTTAAAAAGTATCTAATTGTTTGCTCGCCATCACCTAAAAAAAGCTCCATGCAGCAATTTCTTATTGGTATAAGACTTTTGATCTGTTAAAAAAAAAAAAAGTTGACTTTGAATATTGCATTTTTTGAATATCAAATATAGAACTGGTATATTTGTTAAAATACATCTGTTCACTTAAATCCATAGCTGTATTGTCAAATTATTTGTTTTAATATTAGCACATGAAAATATAAAGCTATATAAAGACAAATCAGTAGGGTGAAGGTGCATAGGGTAACATTCTGAGCTCAAGAACCCCCCTATTACAAAGCCAAAAAGTGCACCAAGAGTCAGGGTGCCTGCGTTTGGTTTTGTATCAAAATCTTTTACATAAACAGCAACTTCAAATGCTTTTTTTTTCTGTCAGATACACTGTAGATTGCTGATTATTTTATTTATGTCAGCTATGCTTACATAACTTGTTTAAAAGCTGCAGTTGTTAAAAAATAAGAGAAAATAAGTCCTTAGTTAACCTCAATGAAATCAGGATAGATTCAGAGCTCCTGTGTGAAGGGAAGTAGGTAATGAACACATTTACATGCAGACTTGCACTCTACTGAACTGATCTGTCATATCATTGATTATAATCTATAAACCATGGGTTATAATCTTGAAAATGTGAGAATGTTGTAGTTACAATTCTGCGAGATGCTTCTTTGTCATAGGAGAGATTTACTCATCCTTCCAATAATAGTTTGTGGTGGTACTTCAAGTGTTAGGCAATTTAAGTAACAGAAATGGGAGATTTTTCTTAAATTGTGTTTCTACCTAACTATGAATCCTACTCCCATTCCATTTCTGACAGTTTGGCAGCTGTCTTAGATCCATAGGTGGTCCCATGGTCAATCTGAAATTGAATGAATGCCTTCTAACAGGAGTGTTTCTCATAAATCTCTTACCAAGCTAAATCAGAAAAAATCTGAGTGAATAAGGTAGTGAGAAAAAAGTTGCTACCAGCTCAGTCACCGTGTCACTAGCACCAGAAAGGTGAAATATAATACTGTGTCCGCTACTTCATTGATTATGTGCTAAGTATGTGGTATATTCTTTTATAATTTATGTCTACTATCCCATGTAGTTTCTTATCTACTAGTCATTGTCATTTCTCAGTCTGTGTTTTTACTAACATCTTCTTATGCAGAGATGCACAGAATTGTATCATCTACACCACTGAACTAAGGGTTAGGGGAAGTAGGATTTTTTGAAACATACATGCTTTGAAGTTACTTGTTTCAACCAACTGACAGCAATTTCTTCTTTAGTCATCTGTTTAAGGTCACAGATTTAAAATAATCATTCAGATATACATTGATTTTAGGGAAATTGTAATTAGCAATCTTTTATCAGTTCAAAATCTTTTAAAATAAGTATTAAAACAAGTTACTATGACCTATTCTGTTAACCATGAAGTTAAATAATTATATTACAAGAAATCTGATATGACATTGTTTCACTACACAAGGTGGAATACTTAGATAATAGAAATGTAGATTTTATGCAGACTTTCTATGAATATTATTTATTTTTCATGTATCAGAGTGATAGTTTGTATTGCTGCAGCAACACACTTTTCTGTAGCAGAAATTTGCTGCAGCACAGTGCAGCATTTTGCAGTCATGCAGAAACCTCTTCTGTAACCTACTGCATTGCTAATGTTTGGGTAAACCTAAACAGCACTAAAAAGAAATGGGCTTTTTCCAGTAACCTTGCAAATATTGATTACATTCACAGCTTTTCTTTTTTCCAGCAGAGAACTTAATTTCTAATTTGAGAGCTGAATATTGCTAGCTGTATTATTTTAATATTGATAATTACTAATTGAATTGTTAGAAATTATGTCTTATGACGTTTCATGGTGTAATTCAGAGAATATTGATACTGCATGCATACTGGTAAAAGCCATTTTGTTTTTAAGAAAAATAGTTGACTTAAATAGTTGTGATCTATTTAACTAGATTTAAAAAATCTGTAATCAGATTTTTTTTCTGGATTTTGTCCTTAGTTGCTCTATGTAGGTGGAGCTAGGTAAATTTTTAGAGGCTGGATTTCTAGATTTGACAGTGGCTATTTGGTTCTGCCTTACCTACTGTTACAACAAGGCTTTGACACAACATCCCTTAGGTTGAATATGGTCATGAATAATCTCGTATCGCTTGCTATGTTTTCTCTGCAGAACACTGCAGTTAAAATAGAAAAGAAGTCAGCTGACAGTGCAGCTGCAGGAGTCAGCATAGCTTGTCCTCTCTGTTTTACACCAGGTAGAGATTTTCTGTACAGCTGCAACTGGAGTTTCCTCACGCTCAGCAAAAATCCTCACCGTTCAGTTATTGTCATGCTCCATTCTTTTGATCTGATAAACACTGTATTTTTGTCTTGCATATTGGCCTGTATTCAGGTTGTTTAACCTCCTAGTCTAACCTATAACCAATGATTAGAGCGGTCAGAATATGTGGAGGTTTGCTTTAGGTTTCCTATGGATGAGAAGGGTCTGTAATTTAGATCTCTCTCCAGTCACTTTCTTGCAAAGTGGGCTTTTGGCTCCGATGTACTTGTCTCTTCTTCTTGGGACCATATTTCTGTTCTTTTATGAATTCCTATGAACCAATTTCATCCTTTATTATAATTTTTAATTGAACCATACATAGAGTGTCTTAGTCAAAATAACATTTATCTTACGTGATAAGATACAGACTGTAAAAAATGTATTTTTACACCTTGGAAAAGCAGTAAGAACTGTCTTGTTCTGTGCAGAATTTAACATACCTGCAACTAATATGACTTATTGCCAGTAACCACCCTAGGAAATGAAAATGCAAAGCCATTGTTTTGTTGTCCTCCTTTATTTGCATAGCAGACTTAGTCATTACAGTCACTCTTTGGAGAGTGTAACATTTAAAGCCTTCTGTTAGTGTTGTGTCATCCCATCAAATCCTGTCGAATGACCATGCCTGCATATGACAACA